AGGCAGGGATCCCAGATTGCTGCCCTCATGAGCCGTGGTCTCTGGTTCTCTTCCCTCAGAAGTAGTCTCGGCTTTGGGTACAACCACGGTGATTGGCCTGGAGGTAGATGGAGGTGCTCTCAAGCTTGTGTGCAGACTGACTTTCTCTTGATTTCCTTTAACTTTATGGCTTCTGTGAAAAGCTCAATTGAAGAAAAAAAAAAATCCATTTCACAAACCAGATTTATGCTTTCACGTAATGCAGTGAGACCTGAAACTTGTGCAGAGAAAGGGCGCTTTTCCTGTGGTGCCCGGTGTTCTGCGCAGGTGTATCCTCACCTGTTTTGCATGTTGGGTACGCGCGCAGTGATTACACGAAGAGAACGTGATGTAAGGTGCTTTGATCAGCGCTTAGCATAGAGTAAGTGCTCAAAAGCAGCAGTGTTTTTGTTATTAGTGTTTCTGGAGGTGTTTAATTGCCTTGCAGTTTTAATAGAAAACGACTGCAGAGGACTGCTGATACCCATAAATCCTTCCAGAGCGAGCAGCTCTGAAACTCCATCTGCACGGCTCCTTGTTCTCCAGAAACACCATCCTGTCTAGGCTGCTGTCTTCTGGAAATCCCATCTCTGCTCTCAGCAAACCCCAGTCCCAACGCTAGGTGGTCCCAACTCGAGCATTCCTTCCATGCCTGTAATTGCAAATAGTTTGTGGCACCTAATTTGACTTTACTTTATTTGTGTATATTTTGGCTCCCATTTGTTCTTCCATATATATATTTTTCAGAGAATACATTACTTACGGAGCATTTACCATATGTCAGCCCTTGGGCTTTCGTTATTGAATCAGACACACCTGGGACCTCTGGCCCTCGGGGAGATAGATTGTAAATTCCTGATGATCAGGATCTTCTACTTTTTTTTGTTGTTATTGTCCCTCAGAGTCTGGCATGAAATACAGCCCTTTAAGTTGTTATACTCATATGACTCCTGTTTGTTCCCCTGTTGCCTTAGAAACAGTGAGGGCTCCTGGGAGGGCAGAAAGAGGCTGCAGGGGCTCAAAGGCACACAGTGGTGACGTGTATGAGGAATCTGTGATTCAGGCTCAAACGCAGCCTCGCCCTTTCCCTGTGGAGAAATCCTAACCTCATCAATTAAAGCCACTGCTATGCTGACCATTGGATATATATGTGTGCTTACAGAGTAAACCTCTAAAGCACTCAAGCATTGGGTATTTTTCTGTGGATTTGCATAAAGAAGCAGTTTTTATATCTGCTTATTATATATATATATGTTTATATTTCAAATATATATGTTTATATTTCAAATATATATGTTTATATTTATATATATAAATATTTCAATATAAACATATATATATTTATATGTGTATATATATATATATATATATATATTAAACTTTTTATTTTATTGATTTCAGAGAGGAAGGAAGAGGGGAAAGAGAGATAGAAACATCAATGATGAGAGAGAATCATTGATCGGCTGCCTCCTGCACGCACCCCACACTGGGGATTGAGCCTGCAACCAGGTGTGTGCTTTTGATCGGAATTGAACCTGGGACCTTTCAGTCCCCAGGCCGATGCTCCATTCACTGAGCTAAATCGGCTAGGGCAGCAGTAATATTTTTAATATTCCCTTGAAACAGTTACTTTTTCAGGGGAAAGGGATGACATTCTTGCTTTCCTTTTTGCCACAATATATTCTGCAAAGTGAACTGACTCTTTTCAAGCATTAGAAATAGTGAGTTTTACTGAGATTTACTTTCCATGAGCATATTAAGTATGTTTATTGAAATCTGAGGTTCTTCCCCTTCCCTTTATGGGTTATGGCTTCCCCATCACTGACTATTACCGCTTTTCATGGGATTTGTGCCTTCTGAAAATATGGTCTAGGACATGGAGATCTTTGTTGGCACATCAGCCCATGTGTCACGCCTTCTTGGCCTCACCCATCAGCACCAGCAAGAGCTGTAACTCCGAGTTGGTGAGTGAAGAGGGAGTCATGAGGAGTTACTGCCATGGGTGGGAGGACGCCTCCGATGAGTCGTTGGTGAAGCAGGAAGAAAACGTATCTCATGAAGGAAACAAGATCCTGGGAGCATTTTGAATGAAGAGAGAGCTCGGTGAGCCAAACTTTAGACATAGGGTGTGATGTGGGAGAGTTCTAAGATAGGCAGAGGTGATATACAGCTTGCAGGGGTGGGGGAGCTGATGCATATTTTGAAAAGAATCGACTGGATGGACAAGAAGATGGGTCCATCTGGCTGCTAAGGATGCTGATGTCTGAGGCGGGGACAAGCCCCTGGGGCGCTGGCCTGTGGTGAAAGTGGATGGGTGTGGAGGCAGGTACAGGTCTCCAGGCTGCAGGCTCCAGGCTGTGATGGATGAATACTAGTACTTCCAACAACAGCTTACCTGTGGTGGTTGCTCTGTGTCAGCTGCTAAAAGAGAAGATTTAGGGTAGAAAATATTTGAAGTGAGGTGGGAACCCCAGGCAGGAATTTGCTTCTGGTCTTGGGATGCAGTGAAGGTTTCCTAAGAAGGTTAAGGGATAAAACTGAGAAAAGGGTTGTGTCAGGAAGGTGAGTGAGATAAGGCTCACATGATTTCATTGGTAGTGATTGCCAGCAACATATCAGAAGCCCTGTAAGGGACAAGTGTGAAGGCTAAAAAGCCTTTTCCGCAGACAGTCTGATTCCATCCCACCACCAGAACCTAGAGTCTTCGTTTTCTTATTCTCAAAGATGGACTTGCCTAGAGAGTCCACACTGGCACTCAGGAGGTTGGGGGAATACCCAGGAGTCCTTGGGTCCTTTGGAGTTGAATTTCCAAAGCATCTCCCCTGGAAACTGGGAAAATGGTCAAGAAGATCAAAGAGAGACTCTTACTCACTGGTAATCTTCATTTGTCCAAAGTCCTAGAGAATTCTTCACGTATGCACACATGTTTGTATGAAATTAGTCATGGTGATTTAAAAAAAATACTCATTTGGGTATTACGTTAGGTGATTTTTGTTCTCCTTCCCTTCCTCCCTTCCTTTCGTTCTTTCATTTTCTTTTTGTTAATGAATAAATGTCATATGTCCTGGCTAAAAAAGCTTAATAACAAAAATAAAGTGTGGTGGTGGTGGGGGGGACTTCTCTCTCTTCAGGATTGTAAAGTAGCGCTCCCAAGGAAGATGACAAACCACTGTCAGCAACATGCATTTTCCCCTGCCATAACAGAGTATTGGTTTTTAATATAAATCTGTAATGTAATTTCTGTTATGTCCTGTGATGCTTCATAACCACCCTCATGCAATTTTCAGAAAATTAATACCATTCATTAGGATACATCATAACCTGTTTCCTTGGTTCGGATTTGACATCGAGGGTGCCCCGCCATCCTGGCTTTCTCTCTCATTGCATTACAGCCCATTCATTGTTATGGCTGGTGGGCTTCCCTGGTTAAATAAAGGGTCGGATTGGCAGGATTCAGACATGATGCTTTGTTCTTGGACTTTAATATTTTAATGAGCCTGAAGGCTTGGCTGCGCACAGAGGAAAGAGCTGGGATCTCTAAGTGTGTTGTTGGTGTTAGCACTTGTAGAAGGATGTTCATTAGGAAGCTCTTGTTTCAGTTTCAGAGAAACTCCCCATTAAGAGCGATCTTTCAGCAGCACGGCTAGCAAGAAAGAGGCAGGGGAGGGGGGGACGCTTTTAGCTGTAAGCATGGAGGGGATATTGTATCAGTTGTCTTAGTTCTAAAGCTTTGCTTCTAAGAATTAATTGGAGCAAATACATCTCCAGGGAAGGGAAGAAAGGGTTGGTGGAGCAAGGACAGTAGCTGCTGTCCTTGCAAGTCAGGGACTCTTCATCTTGCAGCTGAATCAATACCACAACTAATTATTTCTAGTTATCTTTTATGGGTTTGTAAGACATTTCTTTTGTTCGCTGCCATAAAAAACCCATTGTTTGATCAGTGACTGACTAATTATGATAAGTAATTTGAAACATTCTTGATGAAACTTGTCTGTTAATTAACATCAACAGCCAATGGAAACTTAACAAGACAACAAAGTATTAGTGCGCCCACTGTTCGCTGGCGCTGATGCCATCTTTCTGTGGCATGCCCAATAAACGAAAGCTGCCAATGGTTAAAAAATAACAAACAGGTGGGGAGGGCTGACTCACCCGCAGGAAAAGTTATTGTAAAGTTACACAAAGAAGTACTGAACTATGAAAGTGAGGGGGTAGTAAAGAAACGTCAGCAGGCTGATTGGTCCCGTTGCGCAGGGTAGCGATTTTCAACCAGGGTGTCGCAAGAGGCCCGCTGATGTGCTACAAGAATTAAAAAAACAACAAAAAACAAAAAATATGCAGTAGCTGACTATTTAGTCAGAGGCACTGACTCTTCCCTTGGATTATCAGGTGAAAAGTGACAGCAGCCAATACAACAATAGTTATCCGGTGTGAATGAATCAAAATTATGCCATTTTTGGGGTTGGATCTGCAAAAAAAATATTTTTTTTGGTGTGCCACCGAGTTTTAGTAATTAGTTTGTGTGTGCCATGATATGAACAAGGTTGAAAACCGCTGGTGTTGAGTAAGGAGAGTAGATTTTTCACAGAGAGGAAGGGAGAGGGATAGAGAGCTAGAAACATCGATGAGAGAGAAACATCGATCAGCTGCCTCCTGCACATCCCCCACTGGGGATGTGCCCGCAACCAATGAACATGCCCTTGACTGGAATCGAACTGGGACTTTCAGTCCGCGGACTGACGCTCTATCCACTGAGCCAAACCAATTTCGGCTTTTCCTTTTCTTTAAAGTTTAATTCCTATTATAAATACATTCATCCCAGGCTGATCTGAACTAAGATACTTTTAGTAAATAAAAGTTTGAATTTATAAAATTGTAGTTTGGAGTTATTGGTGTTGTCTGGCTATTTTGTGATAATTATTAATATGTTAACATTTGTCAACTCAATGTTGTTTTTTTTTGTTTTTTTTTTATGCTTTCAGATTTCTACCTGGACAAGGACTGGTACTATACCCACAGATAGGAGACAAATTGGATATTATTTGCCCCAAAATGGACTCTAAAACTATTGGCCAGTATGAATATTATAAAGTTTATATGGTTGATAAAGACCAAGCAGACAGATGCACTATTAAAAAGGAAAATACCCCTCTCCTCAACTGTGCCAGACCAGACCAAGATGTAAAATTCACTATCAAGTTTCAAGAATTCAGCCCTAACCTTTGGGGTCTAGAATTTCAGAAGAACAAAGATTATTACATTATATGTAAGTATAATTCTCTTTATTTATTTTATAGAAATTAGGATAAGCTAAATAGGTTTGTATCAAGTTTTGCTTCCTTAAAAGTATTATTGTGGCAAATATTTGGTGATAATCCATTTTTGGGAAAGAAACCTTAATTGAATGTGGGACCCTGTACTAATAGTACTCATTAAATATAAATACCTAAAGAGAAAAAAAATCTCCTAGAGTTTTTATAGCATTGAAATAAATGAATATATATATGAATATACTCAGCATCTCTACTAACAAAAGCATTTTTAAGGACCATTGGTGAGATTTTTGCTGGGTAACTCTTGTGCTGTGACATTTCTTTTCATTAATTCATCCATCTAGCCATTCACTCACTCATTTATATTTCCTCTGTGCCAGAAACTGTGCCTTAGTAATAGGGATTCAACAGTAATAAGGGTACCCTTTCCTCATGAAGGCATCAGTGAGATGGAGCATATAGGTTCGAAGGATGGGTGTTACAGACAAACCACAGTTGTGCATGGGCACGTCAAAAGCAGATTTAGTGGGGGTTGCTCAACCAATTACTTTTAAAAAATCTATCTGGACATTTGCTACATTGCATTAGGAACATATTTTATGTACCCTTTGAGTCATATCTGAACCGCTGTCTAATCATGAGGCTGTGAAAGTCACATAGTGCATCCCCTGGAGCACATGCCTACTCAGGCAAACTCCATCGTAGCACAAAGCCAGAGTCATTCTAGGGCCTGGGCTTTGTCAGTGCAGACTGGGTGATTGAGATAGCTCTTCACATCACTCAAGCAATGAAATAATTTTTTCTTAATTTCTTTGGTTTAAAATTTTGCTCACTTATCTATTACCATAGTCTCGGTTCCTTAGGGAGGAGCACTTAACTGCTCTCCAATGGCTGCACCCTCCCATCTCTTGGTGACCAGGTTAAAACTCTGCTTTCTCAGCCTATTAGCTGCTCTTTTTAAAGCTCAGAGTCAATAATTCACTGAATAGTGACTTAGTGCTCAATAATGTAATATTTTTTACTACATTTGCAATTAAAACAAAAGTGGTCATAGCCATCCAATTCTCTTATTATCCTTTGCTGTAAACCTTAAGTGCCACAGAGACTGAAAACCTATTTGTAGGTGAACCTGATACACAGAGAGTGGCTGAGCGAGAATAAGTAACAAAAAGGAAAAATGGTGAATTATATATTTAAAGAAATAATTATTGTAAAATGAAAATAAAAGCATTCTAAGGGATGAAACAAGTAGATTGGGTGGCAAAGTGTACAAAATAATAGAGACATCTTTGAGATTCTAAAATAGTTATTAGGTAGAATAAATGGAAACCTTAAGCTTTTGTAAGCCTAGTGGCTTTTTTTTTTTTTTTAAAGACAATTTACTAAGTAAGATTTTACCAAGGGCACTAATGTTTGGTATACCATTTATAGGGAACTGAAAGTGACTTCAGATGAGTTCATTAAGAAGGTTAATTCCCCCAGGTAGGGTGGAAGAAAGAAAGAATATGGAGGTGGTGTGGGGAGAGCTGAAGAGCAGATGCCGTAGAGTATCAGATGTTCCTATGGTGTTAGATGTTGTCTTAGAGCTGTGCCTGCAGCCCAAGCCCACAGATTGACTCTTCCTTGCAGACCCGTCAACAGACTCGGATTCTCTCCTCCATGCACTTTAGTCTATGACTTCATGAAAACGGCTTTTCATTTCTAAGTTCCCAGGGAGTGGAAGTGGGATTTCAGCAACCATGGGGCTAGCCTTGAGTCTGAATATGCAGGAAATAAATATAAATACTAAACAAGCAACATCTTTTGGTTGTTTAAATGTGAGCATTTAATAATAAATGACTTATCAACACATGGCAGGTTTGTATTTAGAACCACAGTTTACTTTGTAATTAATTATGATACTAATCTGCACAATGATGACATTTCTTATTTTTCTTCTCTCTAAAAACTCGTTATTAGATTCATTGTGGGTAGCTGAGCTCTGCTGGCCCCCAGAACTCTCCATAGAGTTCTGATTTACAGTGCAAAAGCCAGGGATAAAGGAATTGTTCTTAAAATAGAGTTGAGCATTTCAAGGTTGGAACAATGAGAGGCGGTTTGAATGCGGCTGGTTGGGTGGTTGTCACTGGGCTGGGTGAGGGGCCCGGAGCTCAGACTGGGGAAGTCCACGCAGACTCTCCACAGAGAGCTGAAAGGCTTCCACCACGGCACAGACATAGGACGACTTTACAGAAGTGGGGAAAGTGCAGAAACCGATTTGTCACCCAGCCTACAGCAAAGCTCACTGACACACAGCTTTCCCTGGGAAAGAAATAATGATGAGAAGAACACATTCTAAAGTAGTTTAAAAAGTTAATGTGAACATTTTTGCTTCTTCAAGAATCCCAAGGCATCAAGACAATAAAGAAATTTTAAAAAGTGACTACTTTCCACATCAAACAGTCTTCTAAAAAAAAAAATATATATATACATTGATTTCAGAGAGGAAGGGAGAGGGAGAGATAGAAACATTAATGATGAGAGAGTGTCATTTATTGGCTGCCCCCTGCATGACCCCACTGGGGATGGAGCCAGCAACCCAGGAATGTGCCCCAACCATCGGGACTCGAACCTTGACCTGATTTATAGGTCAGTGCTCAACCACTGAGCCATGCCAGTTGGGCACACATCAAACAATCTTAATATTTCTCTCTCTCTCTCTCTCTCTCTCTCTCTCTCTCTCTCTCTCTCGTTTTCCTCTCTCTCATAGTCACATTCTAATTAAAATCCTACTCTACCAGGTAGCAGGAGAAAGAAACTTGAAATTTACAAGTATATGTTTAATACTTCAAATCATCGATTTATTTTGAGATAGTCAATAAATAACACTGGTGTTTTTGAGTTGCTACAATATATGCTACATGTGCTTAATTTCAGATGTTAGTGTCTACTTAGCACCTTCATAACTAAGAAAATCAATATGATGTTCATCATCAGTATGGAAATCATCAATATTGTGTGTTGCTTTCTTTCCATGGCAAGAAAGAAGAGAATTAATAGTTACAAGTAGTACTTGATTACTCTGCAAAGGAACAGTCTAAATTGCTAATGGACTGAATTGGTGCCCTAGATCTCCTGATTCCAGGAGCACTGGGCCTGGGGATATGGGTTCTAGTCCTGCTGCCTGAGCTTAATAACAATGTAGCTTTATTTCTTTGAATTTTAATTTCTTCTCTAGAAATGGCTGTTGTTGTTGTAGTTCTGGCTAGTGATGGAAGTCTCCAGTTCCCAACTATGATTGGACATACGCATCCAATATAGGAACTCGTGTTAGTGTAGCTTTTATCCCATTGAAATAGACAGGATCTGCTGTAAATTACTTAAAGATGTTTAATTTGATGTGTAGTATTACCAGATTTAAAATACAGGCACTATACTTTTGAGTTTCAGAAGTAAATATTAATTTTTAATTGGAAGTGTATTTTAAGACTACTGAGTGTATATTCATCACATGACAAAATGCTATGAATCCTCATTAATTCTCCTCATAGCTGGTTATTTGCTTTGACATGTGGCAAAATGATATATGCAAGTTTTCTGAATGTTTAGAATTAACTTTTTCAAGTGACCTATTTCTCTAATTAGCCTCAGGCCTAATTTGCATAATAAAATCTCTTAATCTTAAATGATCCCAAGGTAGGGATGCTAAGGTCATTTGGTCTGAAAAAGCCCCATTTTATACTGCATTCAGATTCTTAATTACCTTAAAAGCATAGTAAGCATTTTATGTACCCTATAGTTAACTTTTATTAAGTTTAAAAAAAGTTTATGAAATAACTATCTCTGAAGTTGCCTGTTGTCAAGGGCAGTTCTGTCTTAGTAAACACTTCAGTTAATATTAGGAAAGCATTTCTAACTGTTCTCAGTCTTCATCCATATTTATGTCTTAAAGTTTTCTTGTAGACTCTTGGTGCCTGGTTTATAATTTCTTTTTAGAGGTGAAAGAGGCGAATGAGTCAACAGTTTTGGTGTGTTGGCCCTTTGCAACATTCAACCTTAGGAAGGTTCTGTGGGTTAACCAGCCTTTGCACAAAATCTCCTAAAATAGCTACGAAGAGGTTTTCATCACACTACAAAATTATGTGAGTCAGAAGACAGACAAAAATGAGTGTCATTGGATGAACACTGTGTCAGGAAACAGTGGCCAGGGCAGAGTTGTTAGAAAAAAGAACACTACATGCTCAGAGCACCTCCCAGTTTAGCTTATGTGACTTTTGTGTTATTTTACTTCAAATCCATAGCCAAGACATGGATTTGTGGGAAATTGTCTAATCGCTTCCATTAAAAGTTGTTCTCGAAGGTACACCCTGCCATGTTCACAGTCATCCTTCCGAAAGCCATTCCTCACTTTCCGTGCCTTGGGAAATTCTTCCCTGAGAAATACTGGATGAGTTAGAATGAGTCACCATTCTTCGGCCCTTCGTTGGCTTAGTTCTCCAAAGCATTTTTTTTAAATCAGAGAATATAAAATGGGAAGTCTCCACAGTCAGCTTTGCTATTTTTAGGCATAAACTCCACTGCTGAACAAAATTGCAAAATAAATTAAAACACTTGCATGATGAAACACTATTTTTTAAAGAATCAAAACAGAAGAACAGATTTCATTTCTGTATTTTTATTTTATTTACTTGTATTTGGGGAGTAGGTGGGGCAAATGGCACTAAAATATACTGGATGTACTGTGTTTTCCTCCAGGAAAATAGTTAAAATAGTTGTGGGAGCTTTCAAATATTCTTTCATACCTAGCTTTTTTGAAGAATATATAAGAACTAGATGCCCAGTGCATGCAATTTGGGCATTTGGGGTGGGGTGTACCTCAGCCCGGCCTGCGCTCTCTCACAGTCCAGGAGCCCTCGGGGCATGTCCAACTGATGGCTTAGGCCTGTTCCCCGGGCCTAATCCTAAGCCACATCCTTAGCACACTACGGAGGCAGGAGAGGCTCCCGCCACCACC